GGACCGACTCCGGACATCGGCGCTCTATGCTTGGTCCGCTCCGAGACTACTCCACCGAATCGATGGCCCCTTGCCAGGATCACCAAACTGCATCCCGGAGATGACGGCATCGTTCGAGTGGTATCAGTACGCACAGCCACTTCCGAGCTCCTTCGTCCACTCACCAAGCTCGTTCTGCTTCCAGGAGCCGCAACCGAGACCTTCGATCCTTAGAATACGTGAGGGCACCCGCGCCTCGTTCCTCGCAGACGTCACTGTAACTTGTCGCGAACACTTAGTCACTTTCTCGTCACTATTCTCACACGCTCGAGTCAATCGCTTCACTTGCGATCGAGATACGTATACACCGCGTTCAAGCGGATTAACTCGCGTCTATACACGTGCCCATTCCATGTTACCCGCGCGAGCTCCACAAGAAAAATGACACTGCGCAAGCGCGCTCCGTCAAGCAGCGCTCGATCGCAATCGCGACGCGATCGCTCGATCGAGGAATCGATCGCGCCGCGATGAGCAATTGAACCATCCTATCACAGCGTTTCGTCACGTCATGACACCTAGTCATGAGGCGGGCGGGATGTTTAAGATCGCGCTAAATACAAGCGCGAGCCCACGGCCGCGCTCTCACAAGGAGAAACACATTCGTGAGCCGCGAATAACATTTTGTGTCATGAGTCCGGCCTCGCTTGTCTTCCCGATAGATACACCGGTAAGCCAAGCATTTCACCTTGGTCCCCGGCCGCTAAACTCATGGCACAAACATGTTATTAAATGACAACCGCGACAACGATCGTCGAAACCGATGCGTCGCGTAATCTCGCAACGAGCCTGCGCATCGCATCGCTCCGATCAGCTGATCGCCAATCACGCGCCGCCGTTTTCCCAGGCGCATGGCAAGTGCGAGCCCCCTCGCGAAGGGACCTCTCGGCCTCCAATAGCGTGGGACGCCCTGAGGTCACCTCTAAATTCAAAATTTTGCCACAAAGCTATTGGCGAACTATGAACAGGAAGGAGATTCTCCAACCTCCATAAAACGACGGGACTCGGCCATCGAGCAGAGTTCTCGCTTCGTCAGTTTAACTGAAACCCGCTGAACAAAACCGCAGACCAACCGCTTACTAAGACAACCGCTTTTCCCTCGGCCTACTCTTACGGACTCATCACCCCAGCACTCGCGACCGGAGTTAAGAAACTTGGTGCACCGTGCAGGTTTCTCTTCTTTGTAAATAGCCTGTAAATAGACTCCTGTAAATATATTTGTTCGTCGCTCAGCTGATCAAGACTTAATCAGAAAGCTCATACCACTCCGCGCTCAGTATCCAACCAGATTCCCTGCACGCTCTCGACCGCTCCCGCACACTCTTAAAGGAACCAAAGTAAGTGCGGACGAGTCAATGAAAGATTTTATGTGTTCACTATCATATGTACTACTATTTAAATCACTGTTAAAGTCTCCCACAATTATGGAATTTGAGTAGAGTACATGCCATTTTAGGAAGCTTTCCTCGAATTCGTTAAGGTATCCACAATGAGGCGGCCTGTACACCACCGATAACAATACCTTAGATGCCTTGAAGCATTTTATCTTCGCAATTATATATTCTGGCTTCCTACTATACTCGTTGTTAGAGTGCTCAAGGACTTTCACCTCGATGCCCTCCATTGCATAGATTGCCACTCCACCACCATTCCTACCGATCCTGTCACACCTATGAATGTTATAACCCTCTAAGCCAGCCATACCGTCCGATACTGAAGGCTTTAACCACGTTTCAGATACACAGATGATGTGAAAATCTGCCTTAAGGAAGTGCAATCTAAACTCATCTATATGTGCCAGCAACGACTGAGTGTTGACATGGCACATTTTCAAATCCTCTAGCATAAGCTGTCTGTTAGCCATAGTTGATGTACGATAGCCTTTCAAGGATTCGTTTCTTCAATATCGGGCAATTCCTCACATCCAGTGCCGTATGTATTACATTTTCTTTTGCTCCCTGTTGCCGCGCCGCTCCGTGCGCGGTGTATTATCCCTCTTACTCGCTCCGGAGGTGTTCTCTGACGAGAACCGAAAGGATTCTTTGATGGGATGTGGCTGGTCGGAGGTCACTTCAAAAAGGCACCGTTTAACTATCACTATGTAGCTTTATTCAGCTGACAATGAGTGTTACACTGATTGTTTACGGCAGGCCGGAGGCCTGACGGACAAATGCTTAGCGCGTAAACGTATAGTCTCGAATGACGCGTGATTGACAAGTGCCCCGATCTCGGGCTTTCCTATGGTTTTAAGCCCGATGATCGAGGCGTCAGCGTTCTCGGTACTCGACTGCGGCCATTCGTAACCGGGTCGAGAACTTGCTGACTTCTTCTTAGAATTTAATTAGGTTGCGCGGTCGGGCTTTTGTGGCTCGATCGCGCAATATGCTTACGCTAGTGTTATTCTTATTGCAGTTACAATGCTTGAGTGCCCTCCTTACCTCTTTCGGCAATCAAGGCACAACATCCCTCCCCCTTTGGAAGAAGGAAAACTGAGGGATGAAGTTTTCCGCTCATGGGTTTGCCCTCTCCCTTTTCTTTGTTCCTTACAGTATTTCTTTACAATTTATGCTTAGTACAACATCGCGGGTTCGCGGTTAACATAGTTTGGTGTATTCGGTTGTTTTTTCGTTCTACGATATATTGCCCATACGCTTAGGCCTATTATGCTAATTATAATTATTGCCATCCCCGAGCTTAGTGAGTACGCGACGTATCTGTTCGCAAATATATGTTCGCTTGTTCCGTTTTCCAATTCTCTTTCGAGTTCCCGTGTGCTTAGGCTTAGTTCTATTAATTCCTTCGGGTTCGTTATTACGGGTTTTAACTTTAGGTTACTTTGTAAGTTTAGCTGATTTCCTTCGGCCATGGGGTTGACCGTGTTTTTCGTTAAATTATATCCCGGTAGGTGTGTCTGTACTACTTTATTGCCTATTCGTGTTTTAGTTTTCAGGATTACGTCGGGCGTGTTTAGCTTACACTTATCTTGTAAAGTGACTTTACCTGTGTTGTTTATAGTGATTTCGATTTCTGGCTGTCCGTTACATTGGACGCTGATTCGTTGCTCTCCTCGCGTGGAGTATAGCCAGGTGTGTGTCTCTTCTACCGCTATCCAAACGGTCCGGTTGCTCGTAAGGTGTCGTTTTTCGCACGCATTTAGGTGCCCCGGGGCCTTTACATAGGTTTGCACCTCGCATGGTGCGTCTCCGCTTACGTGGAATGTCGGGAATGCTTGATTACATACATATTTTTCTACAGTTCGCGTGCAAGTCTCTAGTTCTCGCTCTTTGATTATTAGATAATTGTGGTTTCCCTATCTATCGCCATTAAGTCTCCGGACGTTTTTACGAATGTGAATATGTTGTCTCGCTCGTGGGCGGGAAAGGGAGTCGTTTTTATTACCTCGTATATTGGGTAGTTTACAATCGGGAATTTCAGAATGGTGTATACATGAGGCATGTTTACGTACGCGGCTACCTTCACGTATTCTTAGATTGTTTGCCAGTTTTCGGCTTGTACTTTGAATGGGAAATGCTGTCCTGCCCCTAGGTATGTCGCAGCTTCCCGAAGTTCCGTCATTATTAATTCTATCGGCAACAGTCTTGTTAAAATTATTCCGTGTCTCGCGTGAGTCAAGTAATCCGTTACGTCAGTTATGTCTCTCGCCAATGTGTTCGTTATCTCACTTATTGTCACGAGGTGTTCTATTATATCCTTGCGGTTCGTCAGTCGTGAAACCTGACCCTGCATCTTCCGAGTGGCGTTCGCGATCATGTTATCGTTGCGGGTCAAGGTGTTTTCTAATGCCTCTATGTATCCGATGGATTTATCCAGTATTTTCAGCTGGTTTTTCATAACGTGTTGCAGTGTTTTTTGTTGCCCCTGTAATAGTTGCATTTGCTCGTTTATCTTGCGTTCGTCTTCCGCATCCATTGTGCCGAACAGCGTTTTGCTTACGCTGCCGATCGCATTGATTAGGCCTCTTTTGTTCTCTTTGGCGGTATACAGCGTCTGCAGGCGTTTGAGGGCCGTCGCGATCTGTGCTTCCTGTTTCGCTATTATTTGTAATACGTTTTCGCACGACGGTTCGATGCCCGCGAAGGCGTGTTGGCACAGGGCTCGAGTGTCTTCGTCAAATTCTATTACTTGCTGATGCCTGACTCCTAGGGCTTTTACTTCGAGGTCTATTGTTATTTTCCATTCGGCCTCGGTTTCTTGAAGTGTGCCTAGTTTTTCGTAGTATAATCCCGGTTCGTGGTTGAATCGGTGAATTTTATATGGCTCTTCCTCGGCTTTCGTGCTAAGTAGCAGTACTGCCAGTCCCATCCTGCAAGACAAGAGTTCATGTTACTTTCTTTGAATCCCCGTCGCTGTTTAGTTGCAGATGCGCGGGGGGTTTTTCTCGCGGACTGTTATCTTGGGCCTGCTGCGTCAGGAGTTCCTATATCTTATTCTTTTAATTATGTTACCTGCACGTTGCTCGTCGTGAGCTTCAGTCCCGTTTCGCCTCTTGCCTCCATTATGTCGTCTCCCTGCTGTATGGGTTTCGCGGCTTGTAGGCAATGCCGCCGATTGTTTCAACCCACTTACTGTTCGGCGTGTCGTGTCGGTCGTGCCGATCGCGAGTTATCGGTCGCCGAGGGTCCGGTGCCCGAGCTCGTGGGCGGTTCTTCTGAGGATTCATCTCGGGCTTCCTCCGGAGGGTCGCCGTCTCCTCCGGCGTACGACCCACCCCCAAGCTATGGTGAAGCTATGGCGTACCGCGAGGGATTACTTTGGGTGTCCCTCCACGTCGCTTCGGGGGCCCGCTGGGTTTATTTCCAGTGAGGTAAGTGTCTTGTCTTCTGCCACTTTTGTTTCCTACTGTTCTCTTTATGTTCGCTTTACGTTCTATTTTTTGCCTGTCTTGTTTACAGATGTTGGCTCATCGGCCTGTTGTGGCGGTGACGGCGGGGGCGGCTCGCTCCCTTGTCTCCCTTCTGGGCTCATCGGCGCTTGCTTATATCCGTTCATCTACGTTTTATCCAGCATTCATATCCATTATATATCTATGTAACGATACGTTTCCCGCTCTTCCCGGTTCTGGTCTCCGGATTGTCGGACGGGATTCCGCAATCCGCTTGTGCTTCGCGTAACTATCAGACGCGCGGTTCTACTTAATCGGTCGGAAGAGCGAGTGT